GATATTGATCTACGATTTTGAAAATATATGAAACATGATTTCATTATTCTCTCTCTGATGGTTCTTGTGCAATACTTATATATTTATTTAAAAACTCACATGTGAATCGCGAAGGAATATTTTGAATATTTCTTAAACGTTGTCGGGATCCATCTCGATCAGCCTCAGGACGATTACGAAAAGCGTCCCTAAGCGTTGGCAATCCAGAGCACAATCAATGCTCTTAGACGTTATCGCAATTATACATTTCAATTATACATTTTCAATTATACATGTTCAATTATACATTTCTTAAGTTATGTGTTAAAAATTGAGTTAGCTCTTCGTAGTGGACCGATAAGATGATTTTTAAAAAATCAGGAAAAGAATTTTTTTTTTAAGTATCAAGTATTTCAAACATTTAAAAAAAATATATGTTGTAGAATAGCATCCAACAATTTCACAAAAAAAATTTCGTTATGGTATTGGTTCGATAAGATGGTTAAAAAAATTGGAAAAGAAAATTTTTTTTTAAGTATCAAGTATGCATTTCAAAAATTTGAAAAAATTATATGTTATAGGATAGCATCTAATAATTTTACGGCAAAATTGTAGTGGTACAAGACCGATAAGATAGCTAAAAAAAATAAATAAAAATATTTTATTTTTTTTTACAATGTTTCTGGCCTTAAAAAATCTTCGAAATTGTTTTACAAATGTATTTGTCTACATCTACAACATATATTTTTTTTATGAAAATTGATTGAGCCGTTTAAAAGATATAAATTTTTTTGAAATTTTTATTTTTATTTCTCAATGGTTGAATATTAAGGGCTAATGTTTGGTAAAATTTAACTGATATTGATGAAACAACTAAACTGTAAAAAAGGGTCATGATGACGCGAGGGCAGATCGTCCCTCCTTATTCGGCTACGGCCTTTTTGACACAAATATATAAGACACAAATCTTATGTACGATTCAGATATAGTTAGTTTAAACATATAGTTAAAGGAACATATAAGCTTCAGCTGAGTGCTGCTGCTTACGTATATTATAAATAAATGTTTATATAATTATGAATAACGAACTATAGTTTAAAATTTTGAAATAATCTGTTATATGGAAAAATAAAACTTAGCAACTGTTGTGTATTAAATGTTGCATTTAAAACTTCAGTAAATTATAATATCAAGTAAATTACGTAATAAATAGTCATGGAAGATTCATGAGAGCTAATACGTGTTATATTATAGAGAAGAATTATATTGCATACATTAATTGTTACGTATCAAAATTCACCCAAGAACAAATATCATGGTGGCATTGCTACTAATCTCTAATACAACAGATATGTACAGTCGTACATCATAAAACGTGCGTAATAGTATATTTCGCAGCTATTTGATACAATCGAATGGGACTTTTAATTTTGATGAGTGATGCAACAGAAATGTTTGGTAAAATAACCGTTTTAATAAAAGTTCGACATCCTTTATTCTATATTAAAACACTTTGGCATTTAGTCAAAAAAAAACAATTTGAAAAGAATTTATTATTAAAAGGAAAACTGCAATTTACATAAAATATATATCAGATTATTCTCTTGGTAAGAAAAATCAAATACTTTCGAAATTAAAGAATTTGATTTTTAAAGTATAATAAATTAAAGTATAATAATAATAAATATACTTACTTAAAAAGAAAAAATTTTTAGTTTAATGGAATAGCTGTATATGCCCAACAAATTATAACCAATAAAGTCATTTACTTTTGTAAAATCATAATTTAAAATTGAGATACTAAAAATTCTATTGAACAATAATCCATCTCGTAAATTTCTCAAAAAAATCTCTGCTCTAAAATTGTGTAGAAATTGTATACCATTGAAATTATTATAGAAGATTTTTTTACAGCCTTATCTACTATATGACGTTTCTTTCCGCATTATAAACTTATATTAATAATTTATGATTTAATCAAACGGCTGAACATTAATGTTCGTGTGTAATAAATTATTAATTTAATATTTTAGGAACCAAAGTACAAAGAGATGTATCCAAAAGGAGTATTTAACAATCAGCACCCGCAGGAATTAAAAGATTGTTTCATTATGAGTACTAAAGCTTTAGCAGACGAGATAACAAACTGGCCAGAAGTGAAAAAGTAAGACTTATGACTCAAGATAAGTGCTATGAAAAGATTGAAAATATCAGAGAATAATAATTGTAAACATGCTACACTATATACAGGATGTCTTAAAACTCTTAATTAATATTTGAAGGCGTGAAATATAATAAAATTTTGAACTATAAGTTTCTTTACCAATTTTGGCTCACAAGTAACCCTACCTTTCCGTGACTCACTGCATTTAATAAAGTAGCCAAAAATAAGACACACGTATTTTTTTTAATCTGCAATGTTGCAATTTTAAGGGTGCAAACTATCCCTTATAGTGATAAACATTATTACATATAAATGAGCGATTAGTTTCACAATTTTTGAAACATTAATCTATGGGATTATCAAAATCAAGTGGTTTCTCTTGCAAATATCCACTTTTGTACCACGAATATTTAAACTTTATAAATCTAAAAGAAGATGACTGATTATGAACAAGCGACTGAAGGTGGAGAGAAGGGAAAACATATTAACCCAATCAACAAATTCAACAGTTTGTGACTTACAGTCAATATTTTTACAATTCAGTTCAATATCATTTCTGTAAAGAGTATATAGAATAAAAAAGAAAAAATAGATATAGGTGAAAAATAACGTGTAACAATGAAGAAAAATTTATAAAAACGTAAAAAATGTTTAAAAAATAATAAAAAACAAAAACAAAAAAACTAAATGGAAATAGACTTTTGCCACCTCCTCGTCAGTTATTTCTGGGTTCGGCAAAGAGCGAGAAAAAGTACTAGTAAGTATAGCTCTAATACAATGAATTAAAATGCAAAAAATTAAATACTCGTGTTTATCATTATAAGGGGTGCACCTTTAAACTTGCATCATTGCAGATATAAAAAAAAATGTGTGTCTTATTTTTGGCTACTCTAGAAGTATACCAAGTTTCATTAAATTCGGCGAGTCATGGAAAAGTAGAGTTATTTGTCAGACCATTATTTACAGAGTTATTATAACGAATAAAGTTAATCAATCAGATCGCGCTTAACTGGTGTACGCAGGAGCATAACATACCGTACGGCTCTCTGCGCTTACTTCTCTCGAATAAAATTTTATTTTAATTTTTCATATAAATAAGTAAATGAATAAATCAATAAATAAGATAGATAAATAAATAAATAAACACACAAATAAATAAATAAGAAAGAATAAATTACATAATTTATTTACTTAATTATATGAAAAATCAGAATAAAATTTTAATCGAGAGAAGTAAGCGCAAAGAGCCGCACGGCATGCATGCGTACTCTAGCTAAGCGCGATCTGATTGATTAACTTTATTTGTTAATAACTCTGTAAATAAAATGGTCTAAATCAAAATTGATAAAAGAATTTTTAGTTCAAAATTTTATTCTCTTTCACGTCTTAAAATATTAATTAAAAGTTTTGGGACACCCTGTGTATACAGCGCTACTCAATGGTAAAGCGCTCGTGGGCAGGTAAAATAAACCAAACTGAACAGTAAAGTCTTGTATCATTTTGCAATTTTTGCAATAATTATTGAGATATTATTTTATAAAGATCGTCGCATTTGAACGAACGGCGAGATACGTCTGCCCACCGCGGACCGCGATCACCAAACGCGCGACGCGTGGTGAGGGTAATTAATTGTCTAGCGCGCGGTAATGGATTACCCCTACCCTGCGCTGCGCACTAGGCGATCGCGTAGTGGCATAGCTAATTGTAAATCAATTACCCTCACCATGCGTCGCGCCAGACGACCGCGGTCCGCGGCGTATCTCGCCGTGTGTTCAGATTTGGTAATCTTTATAAATTAATATCTCGATAACTATTGCGAAGATCGCAAAATGATAGAGGACTTTTTTGTTCAGTTTGGCCCACTCTATCTGCCCACGGGCGTTTTACCATTGAGTAACAGACATCCTGTATATTTCCGACTGTATACAATGTTTAACAATTAAATTCGTGAGATATGCCAATGATGGTAATGACAGAATTTTGGTGCTCAAATTTCATGTAATTTTTATATACATTTTTCAAGTTCTACAAAATGCGCGTTGTTACTTTCGGTCTCAATTCTTAATTGAATCAGAATATTACAGGGCAACCTTCACTGTTTAGAATAAATATTTATATGGTTTTTACAGAATTTTAATAAAATAGAAGTTAGCGAAATAAAGATTAACAAAATAATTATAATTTTGTGTAATTTTAAGTTTACGTAATTTTTATTGCTAAAGATACTCGGAAAAAATTGCTAAACTCGCTGATCACATGTACCAAGTGGGAATAGATGCAGTCAAGCTGAATGAAGATGAATTTAATGTTATTAATCATGGTGATTTTTTCATAAACAATATGTTGTTCAAATATAACGATGATGGCAAACCTATTGATCATATGTCAGTAAGTATTATCATGTTATCATTATAAATGAAATCATATGTTCGCTTCTACACACAAGTGCTTTATACTGACTTATTATAGTATCGGATTCATATTGTGACAAAGACTTAAAGACAAAGAAATAAAATAATTCATGAGATCTAATTTATATTATTGAAACAGCAAATTTACTTTAAAAATATAACTTTTCGAATAAATTATAACAAATATACAGGGTGTCCGCTACTCAATGATAAAGCGCTCTTGGGCAAGTAGATTGGAGCAAACTGAACAAAAAAGTCCTCTACCATTTTGCGATCTTCACAATAGTTTTTGAGATATTAATAAATAAAGTTCGTCGAATCTGAATGCGCGACGAGATACTCCTGCTCGCCGCGGACCGCGGCCGCCTCCCCCGCGCTAGGCGATGATATAAATACATAATTATATATTAAAAAAAAAGAAAAGGAAATATTATAAATGAGTACAGGGGCAAACATAATAGCAAATACACTACTTGTTTTATTAACAAAGAAGTGTTTGCGCGGGAATTAGTCGCGAAAGGAATCTGGAGCAGGAAGCGCTGGTAACGCCGAGTGACAAGGAAGAGATGGGCGAGACTCTTAGTTTCGTGTGCAAAATTTAATTCCAAAAAAAATTAATACAAAAAAAGGGGAAAAAGAAAAAAAGTTCACGTAGCAGATGGCGGTTTAAGTTTCGCGTGATATCGCGATGGCGAGAATTGCAAGGAGGTATGAGGCGAACTCGACGCGGTAGTGAGTTGCTGTCGATAGTGGCCCGAAACGTTTGCTAATCTGTCCCGGCGCGGGAAAAAGCGCGTCTTTTATAGGGTCGAAGACCTCGAGATCGGTTTCTCGAAGTTTGGCACGGATAGGTTTTGTTGACTCCCTCGATCCTATAATTGCTCGTTAAACATCGCCAAATATGGCAATGTTTAGTACCGCACGCACGTGTTCTTGACCTTTGTTTTTGTTTAATTTATTTGTGTTCTCGATATCGACATTCTGCCGCCTTTGCCTGTTACCGTTTGCATTATCTGTTTGAACGCGCACTTAATCCGCATATATCATTTTACTTGCGCATGCATAGCGCGGTCAGGGGTGCATGCAAATCATTCCTACGCGGCACTCTGAACAAGAAGTTTGACCGGCCATTTGTTTTTAATATATTTTTGTTTAAATAGTTCCACACAATGTTTAAATTGTCAGTATAATGTTTACTTATCTAGAATATCTTTGAATTGCTTAAGAGATATTGGAAGAGAAAATCTGCTTCTGTGTTCTTAAAATCTAACTCACTCAAACAACACAGAAAAATTGCAGCAAAATTGTAGCAATCTTTCCTTGCAAGATTGCAGTGTTGCAAAATGTTGATGCAACGTTGTTACAACATTGCAGCAACGGCAAAATGTCCGTCTTCAGAAATATTGCAATACAATGTTGCAGTAACATTAAAATATAACTTAACAGCACAGGAATATTCTGAGAACGATCGCAAAATTTTATTAATCAGTATTATATACCAGAAAATAAAAGAAAATACACACGACAAAATTATGATTAAAAAAATAAGTTTGAAAACTAATTTTAGTTTGTATTTCTAAGCGGTCACCCATCCAAATTATGTACCTAGTGTCCAACGTTGTTTAACCTTTGTGATCGTTCGGGAACTGTTGCTTCGTGATGACTGTGAACATTTATTGGTAACAGATATATGTATACCAGTGATACATCTGCTGAATAGAAGTTGTCAAGAAGATAGAATACATATAGTTAAAATATATTTCATTTGTAAATATAAAATTTACATGTATTAAAATACAAAATATAATATTTTGACTAACTTTTTTGTTCTCTTTGATATGCGCGCATTGGACAAGCGTATCACTTTTCGAAGCTTATTAATTAAGTTATTTCTGAGATTATACACGCGCGAAAGAAAACGGAATGATAATACACGAGATATTATTGTGTTGATCTCTTGTACTGATGATTGTAGTACAATCATGAAAACGGGAAACAAAGAATATCATGTGTTGTTATGTAAAATTAATTGATATTTAATAAAACTTAATGATTATAAAA